AAAATTGTCACTTAAAGGAGCTCCACTGAGATCAAAAATTGTCACTTAAAGGAGCTCCACTGAGATCAAAAAATTGTCACTTAAAGGAGCTCCACTGAGATCAAAAATTGTCAGCTTATTGGAGCTCCACTGAGATCAAAAATTGTCACTTAAAGGAGCTCCACTGAGATCAAAAAATTGTCACTTAAAGGAACTCCACTGAGATCAAAAATTGTCACTTAAAGGAAACTCCACTGCGATCAAAAATTGTCACTTAAAGGAGCTCCACTGCCAATCAAAAATTGTCACTTAAAGGAGCTCCACTGAGATCAAAAACCAGTAGTGATACATTACGTAGATCTCGGTCAGTCTAATTACCAAAAAGCTATCCCGAGACTATGCCAAGACACCCCAAGGCTACCAAAACACACTTTTACTGACATCTGACATGTATTCCATGTTAAAGTGGTTTAATTTTACAATATTTAAGGGAGGTAACTATGCAATTTTACATATACATGTACACATTGAATTATCTCCCTTGTGAGAAAATGACTATCACATGTACATGCCAACAAGTAATCAAGCTTATTTCACCGATGGAATGATAAATAAAAAAACCTGCATTTCTATTCTGACATTGTTGTAATTATACCCCCGCACAACAAAGTTGTAAGGGGGGTATACTGGAATCAGCTTGTCCGTCCGTCCGGCTGTCCGTCCGGCCGTCCGGCCGTCCGTCCGTCGGTTTTTTCTTGTCCGCCCAATAACTTAAGATTCCTTTGACCCTTAGTCTTCATATTTGGCATGGAGGTTAGTCATGATTAGTAGATGACCCCTATTGATTTTGAGGTCACTAGGTCAAAGGTCAAGGTCACAGGGGCCTTGACTTCAAAAAGCTTATCCGCCCAATAACTTAAGATTCCTTTGACCCTTAGTCTTCATATTTGGCATGGAGGTTAGTCATGATTAGTAGATGACCCCTATTGATTTTGAGGTCACTAGGTCAAAGGTCAAGGTCACAGGGGCCTTGACTTCAAAAAGCTTGTCCGCCCAATAACTTAAGATTCCTTTGACCCTTAGTCTTCATATTTGGCATGGAGGTTAGTCATGATTAGTAGATGACCCCTATTGATTTTGAGGTCAAAGGTCAAGGTCACAGGGGCCTTGACTTCAAAAAGCTTGTCCGCCCAATAACTTAAGATTCCTTTGACCCTTAGTCTTCATATTTGGCATGGAGGTTAGTCATGATTAGTAGATGACCCCTATTGATTTTGAGGTCACTAGGTCAAAGGTCAAGGTCACAGGGGCCTTGACTTCAAAAGCTTGTCCGCCCAATAACTTAAGATTCCTTTGACCCTTAGTCTTCATATTTGGCATGGAGGTTAGTCATGATTAGTAGATGACCCTATTGATTTTGAGGTCACTAGGTCAAAGGTCAAGGTCACAGGGGCCTTGACTTCAAAAAGCTTGTCCGCCCAATAACTTAAGATTCCTTTGACCCTTAGTCTCATATTTGGCATGGAGGTTAGTCATGATTAGTAGATGACCCCTATTGATTTTGAGGTCACTAGGTCAAAGGTCAAGGTCACAGTTGCCTTGACTTCAAAAAGCTTGTCCGCCCAATAACTTAAGATTCCTTTGACCTACAATCGTCATATTTGGCATGGAGGTTAGTCATGATTAGTAGATGACCCCTATTGATTTTGAGGTCACCAGGTCAAAGGTCAAGGTCACAGGGACTTTGACTTCAAAAACTTTGTCTGCCCAATAACTTTAGATTCCTTTGACCCACAGTCTTTATATTTGACATGGATGTTGATCATGATTAGTAGATGACCCTTTTTGATTTTGAGGTCACTGGATCAAAGGTCAAGGTCATAGGGACTTTGACTTCAAAAAGTTTGTCCACCCATTAACTTAAGATTCCTTTGACCCACAGTCTTCATATTTGGTATGGATGTTGATCATGACTATAAGGTGACCCCTATTGATTTTGAGGTCACTGGGTCAAAGGTCAAGGTCACAGGGACCTTGACAAAAAAAGCTTTTCTTCTCAGTTGCTAAAGAATGTCCTGTCCGCAATGTATTGATTTTGACATTTTTACATTTGAAGCATGTAGAATACATAACTTAGCAATGCACTGGCTTAGTAACCTCAGATTTGGCAGGGAGGTTGTCCTTGAGCTCTAAATGGCCACCGTTGATTCTGACAAAGTGGTATGCGGGGGTATTCACGCCATAATAGTGGCAGTTCTAGTTGTTTTACTGATTTATATGTTAGAATATAATAAATATATTCCTTTTGTGCAAAATAGTTTAAAACAATTAAATAATGTGACAATGTCTTTTTTGTGTGTGACATATTTGTACAAACATTCATTACAAAATATATGTAAATATAAAATAAAAGATACTTTGTTCTGATCTGTTAAAAACTGAATGTCATAATGTATAATGCCATTCTAGCTATATTTTATGTTGCCGCATACAAACAAACATATTAAATTTCAACATCAAGTACATGTAGATATATAGCCTTGAGTAGAAGTGCAGTGCAGAAGAACCATAACCCTCCCTGCCCAAATTTTGAAGTTATTGCCCTTTGTTCATTTTTACCTTTTGAACATTGTCCGAGACATAACTTGAGAACTATAAAAGGTATAAAACATAAAACTATGTAGGGAGATAGATCTCACCGAGAAGAAGTGCAGAAATCTCAGGGAGAAAGAACTCTTGCACTTAAAGCTACAATCCAACACTTACCAGAAATTATGATTGTTGTTTCAGGGAAACCAATCCAGTAGCAGAAACAGATCTGATACAGATGACAGAAACTACATATATACATGGCAGTCATAGGTAACTTCATAATTTCCCAACGTCTTTCTTCCTTAAAGAATTTTATATCTTTTTGATCTTTATAATCATGCCTTTTTAGCTCACCTGTCACAAAGTGACAGGGTAAGCTTTTGTGATCGCTTTTCGTCCGGCGTCCGTCCGTCCGTAAACTTTTGCTTTAAATGACATCACCTCACAAACCACTAAGCCAATTTCATCCAAACTTCACAGGAATGTTCCTTTGGTGGTCACCTTTAAAAATTGTTCAAAGAATTTAACTTCCATGCAGAACTCTGGTTGCCATGACAACCAAAAGAAAAAACTTTAAACATCTTCTTCTAAAAACCCCAAAGAGCTAGAGCTTAGATATTTGGCATGAAACATGTTCTAATGAATGTCTACCAAGTTTGTTCAAATAAAAGCCCTGGGGACAAAATTGGCCCCGCCCCAGGGGGTCATTGATTTTCCCTATATGCATATAGTAAAACTTAAAAACTCTTCTTTTAAAGAACCCAAAGTGCTAGAGCTTAGATATTTGGTATGAAACATGTTCTAATGGATGTCTACCAAGTTTGTTCACATAAAAGCCCTGGGGTCAAAATTGGCTCCGCCCCAGGGGGTCTTTGATTTTACCTATAGGCATATAGTAAAAACTTAAAAAAATTCTTTTAAAGAACCCAAAGAGCTAGAGCTAAGATATTTACCATGAAACATCTTCTTATGGGTGTCTACCAAATTTGTTCAAATAAAAGCCCTGGGTTCAAAATTGGCCCCGCCCCAGGGGGGTCATTGATTTTCCCTATATGCATATAGTAAAAACTTAAAAAATATTCTTTTAAAGAACCCAAAGTGCTAGAGCTAAGATATTTAGCATGAAACATGTTCTAATGGATGTCTACCAAGTTTGTTCAAATAAGAGCCCTGGGGTCAAAATTGGCCCCGCCCCGGGGGTCATTGATTTTCCTTATACAGTACAGCTCAAGCAATTTTTCCTCTTTCCACTCAGTCACCGCGGACACTTTAAACGGAGAACAGAAAATCGCGGGGGACATACTATAGTATGCCACGGCGACAAAAAACCTGCAATCCGCGGTGGAAAATCACAGAGATTTGCAGTGATTAATTTGCATATATACATGTACATGTAAATGTTCATGTAAATGTACAACGTAGTGTTCTTTTAAAAAATCCAAAAGACTTACAATGTGACTGATGATTTTAATCATTCAATAAAATTATTTAATTAGCTCGGCGATATTAATGTACATTTACCGGGGAAAATCACATCACAAAACAGTTCAATGAAAAAAGTTTCAAGAAAAGGGAATAACAAAATATTAACACTTTCAAGAAAATTAAATGCTTTGAGTTTTCTGTGTAAAAAGTTGAAACGATAGCTAGAACACTTAAACACCACTTATTATATAATATACATGTACATTTGATAGCGGCCAATCTTAAGAAGGTGTTAAATCCAATCAAGGAACTAATTTATTTATTCTTTGCTTAAGACCACTTAATTAAGCAATTTACACCTACAAAAATTAAGCAATTAGCACATACACCTAATAGTGCAGCCGTGGACTAGTTTATGTACGTAATTATATATACCGGTATAGTTTAACAAATCTTTCCTTAACATATGTTTTTACGTAAACTTTGCAAGATGTCATTACGAAATCTGATCAAAAGCCACAATTTTTTTGCCGTTAAATACTACTGTGATGTGAAAATGCAATTGTTTAGTTCAAAAGTAAATTTGTGCGTATTATATGCTATGACCCACTTAAACTTTAGTTCTCGTCAATATTTGGAGGGAAGGTTATTAACACATGTAAATTTAACAGAAAAAATCGTTTTAATGGATCAAAGAAATAATTAAAAATTCTTAAATGATTGTAGCACTGTAAAATCAGAAAGGTTAAAATGGCTTAAAGCAGTTGAAATTAATTATGTTAAAAGTTACTACATATTAGGGTTTTAATTTCACACGCAAATCATTAAATTTTGTAATTATTTGCATACAACAGGTGTTACCTCCTTTTAAATATATAACATAAAGATTTTCTTCTACATTTGTATAAAAAATGTGTTTGAGTTCATTATATTTTACAGATGTACAGTAATAGTAATAAATGTCCCTGTGTAATAAATAAACTAATGGTCACCCAAGAGAGCGAAATACCCCTGCAATATTTCACAGTGATCCGCGGTGACAATATCCCGCAGCCCAAACTTCCCCCGATCGAGTAGACGAGCGGAAAGTCACAACTATCGCAGGGACATCGCAGTGACAGTCCACCCGTAAACAAATCACGGAGATTGGCGGACTTTGGAAAAATTGCTTGAGCTGTACTGTATGTGTATAGAAAAAACTTAAAAATCTTCTTTGAAAAAAAACAAATAGCTAGAGTTTAGATACTAAGCATGAAACATCTTCTAGTGATTGTCTACCAAGTTTGTTCAAATAAAAGCCCTTGGGTCAAAATTGGCCCCGCCCCGGGGGTCATTCCTTTTCCTTATATGTGTTATACAAAAACTTTAAAAAATCTTCTTTGAAAAAACTCAAATAGCTAGAGTTTAGATATTTGGCATGAAACATGTTCTAGTGAGTGTCTACAAAGTTTGTTCAAATAAAAGCCCTGGGGTCAAAATTGGCCCTGCCCCGGCTGACATTGATTTTCCTTATATGTGTATAGCAAAAAATTAGAAGTCTTCTTTGAAAAAACCCGAATAGCTAGAGTTTAGATATTAAGCATGAAACATTTTCTAGTAAGTGTCTACAAAGATTGTTCAAATAAAAGCCCTTGGGTCAAAAATGGCCCTGCCTCAGGTGTGTCATTGTTTTTAACTATATGTGTAAAGAAAAAAACTTGACCAGCTAGACCTTGGATGTTAAGCATGAAATATCTTCTAATGGGTGTCTACCAAGTTAGTTCAAATAAAAGCCCTGGGGTTGAAACTGGCCCCGCTCCAGGGGCCTATATACAGGTGAGCGACTTCAGGGCCATCATGGCCCTCTTGTTGTGTTTTTACTATAGCTCAATTTTTTAGGAAAGACTAATGGTATTAGAAAAATAATATTAATCAACATTTAGTATCAAATTTTTCGCTCTCCTAATTGTTTGGTTAGTAATAAGGGGTGAAAGCGAAAAGGTTCTAAGTGCATTTTCCAAAATTTTACAGGAGAAGCAAAAAACTGTCTCAAATGTTTGTAAAATAGCAAAATTCCACAACACTTTGATTTTACACATAAAAAAGGTAAAGAAACATGTCAATGAAAAATTCTAGGAAAGACTTTGCAAACAAGATATTTAATCAAATGTAACTTAGAACTGTTTCACACTTAAAATTTCTTATATTTTGATTTTTATGTTCAAAGCGAAAAGGTTCCAAGTGACATTTTGACAGAACAAAAGCATGTTTTTTTTCTTATTAGCTCACCTGAGCAATGCTCAGGGTGAGCTATTGCAGGCTGTCAACCAATTCCTGTATTCCTATAAAACTCCTATATTTTGGGTCGGAATCCTATATTTTAAAAAACCTCCTATTTTTCCTATATTCTCCTATATTTTGATTATATTTCCTATATTTTTTAAAAAATATCTTGCCGAGGAATTCAAAGAGATTTAAATTTTGGTTCTGCTTTTGGCATTTTGTATTTTACAGGTAAGAGAATGTGTATGCCTGCATCAACATCACATTACTATGCTCAAGGCTGCTGTGCTCCTCATAGCCATCTGCATGGTCACCATGAAAAGCAGTGCATCAGTATGTCAACTTTATTTCAGGTGACCATTCAGATGATGGTCATGCATTGCTGTAACTTTCTGCCGGGATGCTGATGCTGTGGTTCACTAATGCAGGCTGTCCGCTGCATCCCTAAAAAAAATCCTAATTTTTTCAGTTTTGCTAAAATTCCTAAAAAAGTGAAAAATTCAAAGGGAATTCCTATTTTTTCACTGATATTCCTAATTTTTTTATCTTTTGTTATAAACATACTAATAACTTGTAACCCTGTCAAAATAATCACGGACATAACTAAGTCAACCATGTTTTGAACATGGTCAAAAATGATTTGGCCATGATATACCAACTCAAAATTGATGACATTGAAATGGTTTCGTTTTAACTAAAAGTTACTTTGACTATGTCAGTAACATTGCCATTTCATAATCAAAGCAGTTGTTGATAATCATATTGACAGCAAAAATACTACCATATCATGGTCCTGAAACTCAAATCATAACCATAAGAGTCCACTTATTCTGGAATATTTTGACACTGTTTTGCCAACTCCAGATATCTTGAATTTTATGTTTGTTCATTTTATCCAAATTTCTGAAGTGGTCCATTTTAATATATCATATCATATTTAAAAATGATCATTATGAAGCTGTTGTAACACAAACTTAATTAAAAACATGAATAAATAGTTGTCAAAAATTAATGTACAATTTGTTATCCCCCGCCGATGGAATCGGGAGGGGGATATAGTTTTGGCGTTGTCCTTCCGTCCGTCCATCCGTCCGTCCGAATTTCGTTTCCGGAGTAGTTCTCTGCAACTAATGGCTGGAATTCAACGAAACTTTATGGGAATGTTGATCAGCATGTGAAGTTGTGCACCTGGGTATTTTCGTCTGGATATTTTTAGTATTTTTAGAGTTATTGCCCTTGACTTAGTAAAACGTCCGAATTTCGTTTCCGGAGTAGTTCTCTGCAACTAATTGCTGGAATTCAACGAAACTTTATGGGAATGTTGATCAGCATGTGAAGTTGTGCACCTGGGTATTTTCGTCTGGATATTTTTAGTATTTTTAGAGTTATTGCCCTTGACTTAGTAAAACGTCCGAATTTCGTTTCCGGAGTAGTTCTCTGCAACTAATGGCTGGAATTCAACGAGACTTTATGGGAATGTTGATCTGCATGTGAAGTTGTGCACCTGGGTATTTTCGTCTGGATATTTTTAGTATTTTTAGAGTTATTGCCCTAGACTTAGTAAAACGTCCGAATTTCGTTTC